TATTAAGATTTTATTTACATAACAGTTTGTGAAAGAACAAAGACCAAAGCTCCAGTTGCTAAACAAGTGTCCAAATTTGTTTCTTCACAGTCATCAAGCATAACACTTATTTCACAATTTGAAAACGTTGTATTATTCAACGTGACAACATTCTTCAAGTTTCAACTGATATTTAATTAAAAAAAAGGTTTAGGTTTATTAACTCATTCTAAAACTCTACAAAATAATTGGAATTTTTATTTGGGACCCATTGAAACACATTGAATTGCCTCTGTGTTTGAAATTTGCTCTATAAATAAAGTTGCCTTGCCATTAGGAACGCGGTGACTCCCTACCTGAAAGACCAGCATGCACATTCCAGCTGCATGGTGCCAAACAAGTCCCTTATTTCCCAGAAACAATTAATTTATACATATAATTAATTATTAATTAATTATAATTAATACATCAATTGTCCTCATGATGCACTTTGGGCCTTTCGGTGTAATCCTGTACTCTTATTAGCTCGTTGCATTTTTGTTCATTTAGAATTCTGTCTATATTTTATTAAAAGTAAATGATCTTTCCACTGAGCTAAACAGCTGACATACATAAACATTTGAGCATACGTTAGTTGTTTTGGGGTTTGCGGTTGTTGTCTTTGAGGATTTTAAGTAAAGGAGGGCGTCAGCCCAGAGATGTGAGGCTTACTCAGGGATTGCTTTCCTTTTGTAGAGAAAATAATGTTTGTAAAAGGCTTTTTTAATACAGTAAGTTTGTTTTTCCATAGCCTGGATGTTGTTTAATTAAAAGAAAATCAAGCTGAAGCGGGCTAACTTCATCCTGTTCTAACCACCCTACATGTGTGTATTAGCGATTAACAGGAATGTTTCTTTTCACTGTTCTGGCTGCAGATGCTTTAAGGCCCGACGTGTGTGTGGACAACAGTCTACAAGGAGTTGAACTCATTATGCAAACAGTCAGTATTTACCTGATGTCACATGACATGAGGCGTAGTACATCAGACCACTTGTTTATCACAATGTGAAACTTTGTTTTGCTCCGAATGACAATAAGGCTCTAGTTTCACTTTGTGCTGAAAGGTATTACTTGTTCAGGAAACACGTTCTGCAAGCACACGGGTGGTTCTAAATGTACTAAAGGTTAACACAGATGTACACAGATGTGTTTACTGGGTTAACAAGCGCACACATACGCCGTTTTTACAAAACGTCGTCAATCTGATTGATTCCTATTCGTATCCAAACATCCGGTGGTTGTGGTGGTATTGATTATTTAAAAAAAAAACTTTCAAGACAAAATACTGATAATTGGGATTATTTTAAACAAACTATTGTACATTTTTATTTACAAATTTTTGCAATAATTTTGAATAGACTAACATTGTTTAAACACCCCTTTGCTGTTGGTGGAAATCTAGCCTGACCAGCCAGCCCTTATGGGAAGCATTGGTTCTCTGAGCAGCACTAACCAGATGACGAGCCTGGCTGGCCATGCTCAACTGATGAGGGTGGTTCAGTAGCTTTTGTTGCTGAGGGACAGAGGATGCTCCACTCCAGGACAGTGGGCTACCTGATAGCCCAGCTCTCCCGTCACCGCAGCTATTTTCTTACTTTTAGGTCATTACCAAGTTTTTTTAATTGGTCTTCAAGGGAGAATACAACCTCTTCAGACAATTCAAGTTTGAACGGGATGTCGAATTATGAGAAAAGCAATGCGGGGGCATCACTACAACAGATGAATTTGGTGATGAATCTGAACGATGTTCAGGTGAATTTGGATTCCTGTTCCTCAGTTGTTCCTTTTCGGGCCACTAGATGGCGATGTTATGTTAGATTTAATTTAGATTTAGAAATTAACTGATCTAATTAACTAAAATTAGATTGATGTATATAATTAGTGAATATACAATATATAAATTAACAATTTATTTATTTGTTATTATTCAACAGCTAAATGGAAATGTATGCATTGTATATAATAATAATAATAATAATAATAATAATAATAATAATAATAATAATAATAATAATAATAGTGTCATTATTATTATTATTATACAGATTGGTGTTTTCATTTTTTTTTTGTGGTGCGACCCCTGCTAGAAAGTTTGATTGTATTTTATATCCAGCAGCTGACCTACTTGGCTAACTGCATTTGTTAGAGCTGCTGCCTGACCCCGGGACGTTTGTAAATCCTTAATCTCCGTGATATTTTCCGGTGAAGTAATGAAGAAATGTTAAAACAGACAATTGATGATAGATCAGCAACAACAAAACAATGTGCGCCAAATTAAACTACCTCGATTCATTTAAATGTGAGCTATGATTTTGTTTGTTCATATTTTAAGACTAATAAAGTTTTCAGAATGAAATTAAATAAAAAAAAATTTCGGTGAAATTAAAGTTGGCATTCTTTTTTGAAGTGCACAAATAAAGCATATTCAATCCCTTTGGCGAGGAAAAAAAACTTTATTCAGCTCTTTTATCCACAAGAGACAGTCCCACACCTTTGTCGTCATCAAAATGCGCACAGCAAGCATGGCGCTCCCGCTGTTGTGGACAGAGCTATCGCGTTTACCCAAGATTTAGGGGGTTATCTAAGAGACTGAACTAGTTTTATCTTCTCGTTTTTGTTCTCGTCGTCGGTCACCTGGACAATTCAGCGTCAGTTCCGCGTAAAAATGCAGACTTTGAAGCGTGCCTGTTTAGCGTTGACCGCTGCTTCCAGAGTCCTCGGTTCTAGCCGGCTGTTCGCCCCCGGACTCCCCAGCGGGTCCCTTCACCGACACATCCGCTCGTCTGCGGGTCGCTTTGGTCAAACTAGAGAACAACCAGAAGACACGGCGGTCATTCGTGTTCCCCAGTATGTGGTGAAGCGCGTAGAAAGCGTGAAGCAAACTGCGGTGAAAAACAAGATCAGGACCATCACAGCTGGTAAACTCCTGATCCAGGGCAGGAACCCTTCTCTGAACCAGTCTGTGGGATACGCCCTGGGGAAGTTCGAGCCGCCCGTCCTCTGCTCCAAAGGCTGGAACCACAAAAAATCATTCGGAGACTATTTCATCATCAACAACACGAAGGACGTAGCTCCTTGCCTCACAGGCAACTGTCCCGAAGAACAGAAAACTCCTGCTGTCACCTTTCATAACCTCCGCATCTGCAAAAAACTGGTAGAAGCGTTGGACCTCATGGGGATCGTCCATCCCACCACCGTACAGCTGCAGACCATCCCTAAGGTCATGAGAGGTCACAACATCCTCTGTGCTGCAGAAACAGGAAGTGGGAAAACTCTGAGCTACCTGCTGCCGGTGGTTCAGCAGCTGCAGGCGGAGAAACAGCTGGACATGAACATTGAGACCACGAACACGATCGGCGCTGTGGTTGTTGTTCCATCCAGAGAGCTAGCTGAGCAGGTGGCAGCTGTGTCCAGGACTCTTTGTGGTTCTCTGGGCTTAAATACAAGGACCATAGGTGGAGGGAGAGGCGTCGGTCACATCAAGATGGTCCTAAAATCAGATCCTCCAGATGTTTTGGTGAGTACACCCGGTGCCCTGGTCAAGGCTCTGCGAAGGAATTATCTGGATTTGAGTGAGCTGAGCTTCTTGGTGGTAGATGAGGCCGACACCATGTTTGACCCCAGCTTCTCTGAGATGCTCGGGAGCATTTTGACGCACGTAAACATCGCAAATGATCCCAAGGAAACGCGTGGCCTCGATCGCAAAGCCCAGCTGCTGATGATGGGGGCAACTTTCCCTGGAGATGTTGGGGAGGTGCTGAGCAAGGTGACAGACCTTGGAAAAATAGTGACCGTCAAGAGCAAGATGCTGCACTTCCTGATGCCCCACGTCAAGCAGACATTCCTGAAGGTGAAAGGTTCGGATAAAATCCTGGAGCTCTACCAAGCCCTGAAGAAGCTCCACCACGCCGGTGCTGCTCTGGTGTTCTGCAACAAGTCAGCCACGGTGAACTGGGTGGGCTACTCGCTGGAGGAAATGGGGGTTCAGCACGCTCGGCTGCAGGGAGAGATGCCCGCTGTTGTACGCGCTGGGATCTTTCACTCCTTCCAGAAGGGCACGGACAAAGTGCTCATCTGCACGGATATAGCGTCACGTGGACTGGACACTTCCAGAGTGCGTCTGGTCGTTAACTACGATTTCCCAGAATCCCACACAGACTACATCCACCGAGCAGGCAGAGTGGGGAGAGCTGGAGGGGTGGAGGATGGGGAGGTGCTCAGCTTCGTCACTCACCCTTGGGATGTGGAGCTAGTGCAGAGCATCGAGACCGCCGCTCGGAGGAGAACGAGTTTGCCGGGAATGAAATCTGAAATCCAAGAACCGAAACCCAAAGTTGTATCAGCAGAGGAGCAAAAGTCTCCTGCTTAAGTGATTTATCTAAATGTTCAGGCTTAAAGCTAAAGCTGTAGCAGATCAGAGAGTGTGTGTGTGTGTGTGTGTGTGTGTGTGTGTGTGTGTGTGTGTGCGCGCGTGCGCGCGTGTGTGTATGTGGGTGTGTGTGTGTGCATGTGGGTGTGGGTGTGTGTGTGTGTGTGTGTGTGTGTGTGTGTGTGTGCGCACGCGTGTGTGTGTGTGTGTGTGTGTGTGTGTGTGCGCGCGCGCGCGCGTGTGTGTATGTGGGTGTGTGTGTGTGCATGTGGGTGTGGGTGGGTGTGTGTGTGCATGTGGGTGTGTGCGCGCATGTGTGGGTGTGTGTGTGTATCAGCTGGTATCTGACTACAATTTAGCTGAAATAATAAAAATTGAAGTCCTTTACGTCTAGAAAATAATTTTTTATTTTGATGTCTAAAACGTTTTGAATCTATGCTTATATATGTGTGTGTGTGTGTGTGATTCAGACTATAAATTAATTGTACTAAATTTTGTTAAAATTTCCATAAAGTTGTTTAACTGAATCAAAAGAAAATGACTTGTTTCTTCAAACTAACTCATGAATTTAAAGGAGCATTTTTATTGAAATTTGCTGTCAATTCGTTTCTCTGCATGTTTTCGCCACCAGGTGGCAGCATTTGCTCAAGTGTTGGCGCTAAATGAAAATCGAGGCTTCCGGCAACTCAACAGGTCAAAGGCAAACTTTAGAAAGCTATATAGATGCTTCAGCAGCATAACCGTTAAACATTATTTCCAGATTATCTGATTTTAAAGAGCAAGTCACCCCCTACCAGATTCTAACTCCACTCCCACTTCATGTTTGAAAAATGCAACACATGCTGTTGCCTGGCAGACCGAGAGGGCGGACCTGCTAACAAATACACACACAGGCTCACGACAGCATTGTGACATCATATTGTACAAGATGACATCATAGCATACCTCTTAGCCAATAGCGGTGGCAGATTTAAATTAGAATACAGTGCAGTTTTTACCTGACAACGGCACAACACTGCCAGTTTTAGGCAGAATATTTAAATTTGAACTAAGATGCACTGAAGTGCCAAATTATTGACGACACGTGTCTGCAGCACGACTAGACACTCGTTTATTTAGTTTATCAGCAAAAAAAAGTTTATTTGGGGGTGACTTGCTCTTTAACGTTAACAGTATGTATTTGAGTGTAATGCATTTCAGCTGGTGGTGGCGAGCTGTTATGTAGCCACAGCCGTCCCGAGGCGGCCTGACAAAGGTGAGGCTGCCATTTAGCGCCATCAGCAAGTCAGCAGCAGGAATCACACCCACATCCCTCCTGCTGAGCTGCTGTTCCTAGTAACCAGTAAAGAGAATAATCCTTCCTATTAGAACTGAGTTTAGAGTTGAAATAAAAACTGACTACAGCCGATGAACAGCAGCGTTCAGCAGCTGGGAAGACCGTATTTAATTTCACTGGAATTATTTTGGAATGTGAGGAATTACCTGCTGCGGTGGTCCAGCGATGGAGCTCCTGAACTTTGACCCTTCCATGTGTAAGCTCCCATTAGGATGCAACTGTACCCCGACAACACAGACCCATCGCTAACTTTAGCTCATGCAGCAACTGCCGCCAATCCTTCAGCCTATATTTTTAACCACTTTCACCCTGAGCCCCCCCAGGTTTTGCAACAAAATGGTGCAAAACCTTCTGCTCAAAATTATTGAATTTAAACCAAATAAGTGTCAAAATGAATCAGTGGGGAATTTTTGTTGAGCTTTTATTCTAAAATCAAATATAAGATAACTATAGACGATATTATATCAGACATTATTGTTATTTTGGTGCCATTTTGCTAAAACTCTGCCTTTGCTGTTTCCTCTTAGAGTGAAAAATCATCTGTGAATGTCTAGTTTGACATCGTATTGGTGTTTGGACGTGTTTGCTGCAGGGGAGAATTTTATTCAATTATACAAGATTCTCTTTTAAAGATGTTTTAGAAATGTTTGTGGTTCACGCTGCAACTTTTACAAGCTGGGTGAGGAAATGTGCTTCCGCTAGTGGGGATAACAGAACCGGGCTGTTTTTCCTTGATACCTGTCTGTCTGTCTGTCTGTCTGTCTATCTATCTATCTATCTATCTATCCGTCCGTCCGTCCATCCATCCATCCATCTATCTATCTATCATCTGTCTGTCTGTCTGTCTGTCTGTCTGTCTATCTATCTATCTATCTATCTATCTATCTATCTATCTATCTATCTATCTATCTATCCGTCCGTCCGTCCATCCATCCATCCATCTATCTATCTATCATCTGTCTGTCTGTCTGTCTGTCTGTCTGTCTGTCTGTCTATCTATCTATCTATCTATCTATCTATCCGTCCGTCCGTCCATCCATCCATCCATCTATCTATCTATCATCTGTCTGTCTGTCTGTCTGTCTATCTATCTATCTATCTATCTATCTATCCGTCCGTCCGTCCATCCATCCATCCATCTATCATCTATCTGTCTGTCTGTCTGTCTGTCTGTCTGTCTGTCTGTCTGTCTGTCCGTCCGTCCGTCCGTCCGTCCATCCATCCATCCATCCATCCATCTATCTATCATCTATCTGTCTGTCTGTCTGTCTGTCTGTCTGTCTGTCTGTCTGTCTGTCTGTCTGTCCGTCCGTCCGTCCGTCCATCCATCCATCTATCTATCATCTATCTGTCTGTCTGTCTGTCTGTCTGTCTGTCTGTCCGTCCGTCCGTCCGTCCATCCATCCATCCATCCATCTATCTGTCTGTCTGTCTGTCTGTCTGTCTCTCTCTCTATCTATCTATCTATCTATCTATCTATCTATCTATCTATCTATCTATCTATCTATCTATCTATCTATCTATCTATCTATCTATCTATCTATCTATCTATCTATATTATTTTATTATATCATAGCTTATTTTCTTAGAACTAGCATTTATTTTAGGAAATATGAATTGCACTTACATGTAGGCAAGTTTATTATTATTACTAATAATAATAATTATTATTAGTAGTAATACTACTACTACTACTAATTATTATTATTAGTAATAATAATAATAAAAAAACACTATTATTATTTTTATTATTATTATTATTATTAGTAATAATAATAATAATAATAAACACTATTATTATTTTATTATTATTATTATTATTATTAATAACTTTATTTAAAACCTCCCCATGTTTTTCCAGCTGATATGGTCAAAGAGTTAACTACATGTGACAGTATGGTGTCAAAGTTAATCTTTTTAATTATTTAACCTTTAAATGTGAAATTCATCTATGAGACGGACTCAATTCATGCAAATCCAGACATTTTAGCCTTTATTTGTTATAATTGATGACAGCTGACAAAAACCCTGCATTTAGAATTACATCTAATCAGAATATTGCGAGAAGGTTCACTGTTGTAGACTCAACCTGCCACACTACTCAGCTACTGAATAAAAAACACCTGCAAAGGGTTCCTTTAGATGGTCTCTCAGTTTAAACTGGATTACTGAAATAAATGTTGTTTCTAATTTGTCCTGTTCCACCAGTATTATTATTATTATTGTCATTATTAATCATAATACATAAAATAAAATGTTTTATTGTGTAGTTTCATTTTCTGTCCGCAGCAGAGGACTACAAAACGTTGGGTCCATCAATGATGACGCATTTCCTCTTTGTCCCACTCGCTCACTCATACACACACACCCGCACGCGCACACAATCGCGCAGATCCGCTGCTCACACACACCGTCCACCGGCCGCTTGGAAATAGCTCCCGAGGCGCTGGATGTTTTGGGGCTGAAAGAAGCGGGACTGTCGGCTTCTTCTCGGGGCCGGTTTGGTTGGAATGCTCCTGCAGAGGACCTGAAGGTAGGTTCCCAATCCTGTAATCGGATTATTCTGGTGCCCATCTCCCCCGCAGCAGCAGCGGCAGGAGGCGTAGTGTGGATGTGTGTGACCTCCTCTCGGACCTCCAAACTGCTCGCTGTGGAGCTCCAGATCCTCCTGCTGCTGCTGGAGGATCCTGTCGCGGCGTCGCCTCCTGTTTTTATTTATCTGAACTCATTAAGTTGTGGTTTGAGGCAGAAAACGGGACTTGTTTGTGTCTTTCATTTTTATTTCGGCCACTCTCAAGACCACAAACCTCACCGCGACCACCGCGGCTGCTGCTGCGTGCGTCCCGGTGAGTTTTGTGGGTGTTTCATTTAACCACCTCCGTCCAGCGCAAACAGGCACGGAGAGTTCACTCAGGGGCTGGGAAGGTAAATGAAAACGCCGCTGACCAGCGCCTCCGCCATGTTTCCATGTCAGCCAAGCCACAGGCGACTGGCTCCAACTTTTATGTCCCATCAGAAACGCAGCGAGCTGCTGGAGCGCGGTCCTGCTACGCGTTTGGTGGAAATTCTAAAAATCGCGCAGCGTGGATTTATCTTTCTAGGTTTAAACCCGCGACTCGTGTGTTTTCATGATGCTGAAGGAGAGCATCAGCGTGCAGGAGCGGCTCTGCAGCAGCAGCACGGTTCCGTTGGACCAGCACCGAGTACGGCTGCTGCCGCCGCTACACCCCTTGTTTAAATAACGAGTCTCATATTCAGCCTTATTTTTACACGCATGGTCACATGCTGGTGTTACCGGAGGAAATCTCGTGATATCTTAAAGTGTCACCCCCCCCCCCTCCCTTCCTCTCTCCCTCTCTCTCACATACACACACACATGTTGTGTGCAATGATCAATACAATTTGTGGTTGTTGGTGCAATGAGGAGACGGGTGACAGGTCATGTGATGGGTAAAATATACTCAGCCAATCACACGGCAGCAAACTCACCTGTTTAGGCACCTAGGCATGGTGACATCATGCAGAAGTTCAAAGCTGAGCATCAGAAATGAGAGGAAAGCGAGATTTGAATGAATGTTGCGAGGTTGCTGCTGAGTAGTTCAGGTTCTTCTGGGAGTTTCACTCAACCTTCTCTTGGTTGATCTGAAAAGGAGAAGATTTGAGCAGCAGGTGTGAGGAGCAGACTCTCGCGATGTCAGCGGAGAACAGGGGGGACTCATTCCACACCGGGTGCTGCTGGGGGCGTTTGTTCACACTGGGTCACCAAAGCGTGGACGCCCACAGATCAGAGCCGGGTTCAAACGCCACAGCCTACCCGAGTATTGCTGCTGATCACGTCCAACCCTTTAGGACCACCACCACCACCCTTCTGATGGCTACTTCCATCTAATAAGGTTGGGCGATTGGACAAATCTGTCGACGGAATGGAAGGTCTTTGTTTACATCCACAAGGGTCCATTAAAAGAACTCCACTAAAATAGTCCACACAGCAATTCTTACATCCACAATCCAACATAATACAGCTGAAAACTCTTTTTCCTTCATATGCATCTCTTTCTCACCATAACTTCCTCATATTATCTTCAACCTTTTGATCGACGCCTTACCTGATCACACAGGTGAAGGGCTACTCCCTCTAGGGGCTAATTCAGCAGCTATTGGCCGATATGTCGGAAGTACCGCCCACTTATTCTCATGTGTGTCTTGAACCAGTTGGAGCGCATGTGGTGGAAAAGGAGAATGACATCATGAATGCGATCATGTGATGCTATCTTGTTAATCTGAACCAGAACCTCTGAAGAATAGTTCAACACCTTCTCTGGTCCACACCAGTACCAGCAAAGTGTACCTAATAATGTGACCAGTGGGGGTATAGCTCCCCCCCCCCGGTAGTCCCTCATTTCTCACTCTGCCCAGACCTTGGTCTGTCACATCACCTTAGAGGCTACAGTGTGTTATTCCTCATCATCGACTGCTCTCCTCCAGAGCCGTGTCCAGGACTTTCAAAATGGGGTGGCCCATGTGGGGTACTTGTTTATTCATAGGTGGCACCAATGGTTATGCTTATGTATTTATTTACACAAATCATTTATTTATTTATTTACTTTCTAGTGAATTTTTGACTTTCACATTGCACATCACCATTTTTTTTTCATCTTCTACTTTTGTGGTGGTTAGCAAGTCACTTCTTGTTCATTACTGCCACCAACTGGAGTTGAGTGGGACTCTAAATATTATGTATGTGAACATGAAAACATATTAAATAATATTAATACTACATGCCTTGGCAACCACACACTATTTTGGAGTTTACAACCCAAGCCTTTTGTCGACAATGTAAAGTCAATTTAAACTGGAACTTAGTGGGGTGGCGCCTGGGGTGGCCAGTCAGATTCTAAGGGTGGCATGTGCAACCCCAGGCTACTCCCTGGACACGCCCCTGCTCTCCTCGCCGTTTTACCGCACGTCCGACAGGTGTGAGTAACACCAGTCAGGAAAAACCCGTCGGCAAGGAAAGAAAACGACAGCAACAAAGAGAAGAGCGTCTAAAAAATTTGTCCTTCAAAATGGCAGCGTCTAACAAGCGAGGCCTCTGCGCGTCGACGCTCATCGGTTCCCCACTGCTTCGTTTCGGTGAGAACGTCGTTTTTCTCCCCCTTCGAGCCCCGCGGTGAACTGTTGCCTTCAGCTGCTGCTCCTGTTTGGTATGCAGCCCTGCCACCCACTCGAAGCATGAAGACAAACAAATACAATGTAGCTGTTCACTTATGAAGTGCTGAAATCAGTCGGTGAAAGAATGAAACCACCGTTTCGTATTCAGGGATTAAAACCAATCTGTTCTGTTGTTCTTTAGTAGATAATCAAAGATAAACCACAGTAGTAGAGTATGGGGTGCCATTTGTAAAGTCAAGCAGTCATAATCTAACAGCAATATTTCTGGATATTTAGCAAATCATAAGAGAAAAAATTGGGAGTTCACTTTTTCGAAGTCATATTTTCATCATGTTATTCGTACATTTATAAATGTTAAAGTTTCCAAATAAATATTTAGTTAGCAAGCTAAAGATTTAATTTATAGTTAAATATTTATGTTGCAAACTAAATATTTAGGTCTGATCTAAATATTTAGTTTGTAAAATAAATATTTAATTCACTAACTAAATATTTAATTTACTAATTATTTATTTTGGAACTAAACATTTAATTTGTAAATTAAATATTTATTTTCCAAAATAAATATTTAGATCCCAGCTAAATATTTATTTTGGAGCTAAACATTTAGTTTTCAAAATCAGTATTTGGGAAATAAATATTTAAGTCTGACCCAAAAATATAAAATATAGTGTGGAGCTAAATAACATTGTGGAAAATAAATATTTAGCCGGTACTTAAACATTTAGCTAATATGCAAATTTGCTTGCCAATAAGCAGAAGTTGGTTACCAAAATAAAAGCTGGATCTCGCTAACTTCTTTATAAACACTTGTTCCGAACCAGAACTTGTTTTATCTCCGGTTCTATTCTTCTGAACATGTCCGACGTGTTGGCTGAAGAAGAATAGAACCGGAGGTAAATATTTATTTTCCACGATGTTATTTAGCTCCACACTATATTTATTATTTTTGGGTCAGACTTAAATATTTATTTCCCAAATACTGAGTTTGCAAACTAAATGTTTAGCTCCAAAATAAATATTTAGCTGGGATCTAAATATTTTTTTGAAAATAAATATTCAATTTACAGATTAAATATTTAATTTACAAATTAAATATTTATTGTACAATTTAAATATTTAGTTCCAAAATAAATATTTAATTAGTAAATGAAATATTTAGTTAGTGAATTAAATATTTATTTTACAAACTAAGTATTTAGATCAGACCTAAATATTTAGTTTGCAACATAAATATTTAACTATAAATTAAATATTTAGCTTGCTAACTAAATATTTATTTGGAAACTTTAACATTTATAAATGTATGAATAACATGGAGAAAATATGACTTCGAAAAAGTGAACTCTCAATTTTTTTCTCTTATGATATGCTAAATAACCAAAAATATTGCTGTTAGATTATGACTGCTTGACTTTACAAATGGCATCCCATAGTAGAGATCTAATTTGTCCAAACTGCGTTGACCGTTCTCTGCTGCTCGACCTTCAGGGTTCATCCAAAAGGGCTCAGCCCATCAGCTACACGTGGCTAATTTATTGATCTGTCTCTTTGTTACGCACGATTAAAAACAGGCTTGTGTCATGACCGGTGGCCACAGAGGAAGTAATGAGCGCGCCATAATGACATTTTAATCTCAGTGGTGATGCAGCAGATCACAGGAGGCAGGCAGCAAACGGCTTGTGGCGGCTCCACTCAGCCCTGCTGTGCCTGTCAGGAGAAAAAAGAGCGGGCAGGAAGTGCCATTATCAGCCGGATCAATCACCGTTGCAGGGCTATGGTTAGGACGTCCAGCTTGGCTATTTCCTGCAGGAGATTGCAAGTCCTGGCTGGTGTAGAGACGAGGAAACCAGGTTTCTGGTATTTTTGGAGAATTTTCTGGAAGGATGCGTAGAGTCGCAGAAAGACTCGGCAAACTAATTATGGCTTCATTACGTTTTTATTGGATGTGACACCTATTTTGTTACTAAGGGAAGGGAAACGCAACAGTATATTGATTTGCTGGCCTTATTAACACAAACGACATGTTTTACATTAATTTGCTTGTTTCTTCTCAGTGCAGCTGGTAAACTTCAGGACCTTGAGATTAATGGTTGTCAGGTTGGTATAAGCGTCTGGCTTGCAAACGTTGAGTCTATTCATTAGTTTTTCATTACGTGTTTCTAACTGAGTAAAATCTGTTTTAATGGCAGGTGATTGTGTTGTTCACAAGCTGGTAGTTCATCGGTCCTGTCACCTTTAATTAGAGCACGTTGATTAACCCTAGTTAATTCTTTAACCCTAGTTTTTTGTTTTGTTTTTCATTGAATCTTATTTAAGATCATTATTTAAATGTTTATAAATGGGGCTGCGTACCAGGAT